TTGCTGCCCTGGAAGGAGAAAAAGCCAGGTGCCTGTAGCATGGGTGGCCCCTGGCTCTCCCATGTCCTCTGGGGCTGAACTGACCTGGGGTTGTAGGACATGGCTGAGGAGGTCCCATCAGTTGAGTTGCGGCTGTGTGACCTGTCAGGCTGCTGCCCATCCATGTTGAGATTAGAACAGGAGACCCACAGGTCCCAATTGACAGCCCCTATCCTCACCAACAGGCTAGCTCTGTCTTGGGCATTGCCCTTTCTCTTGGTGCCCTGACTGGCCCTGACCTCACCCTGAGGTCACAATGACTTCAGTGTCCACAGCACCCTTCCAGGGACAGTGGTGTGGAGTCAGTGATATCTGAGGATGGCAGGTTGGGAATGTGTGCTTGGGTCTACATAGGCATTGAGGATGTGTGTCCCCAGTGAGGCCTCGTATCAGACTTCAGACATTCTCCATGACTTGTGGATGAGTGGACCATCTATTATATGAGGACCCTCATCTATTATATGAGGGTCCAGGACCCTGTGGTAATAGCAGGGCCTAGGCTGGGACTGGGACTGCTCCCGAGGACTCTAGCTGAGCACATGGTGCTGTACTCTCCCATCTGGGTGCTATTGCATAGACCCCCCCCTCCCCCGCCGACTGTCCCTCACAGACACGGCTGGAGTGAGGCCAGCCTGAGGTTCCCAGCAGAAGGCAGGGCAAATTGCTCCATAGACTATCTGCCCAGTCTACCTTTTACTGGTCTGGAGACCCAGTGACCCGGAGGCCCAGTGTCAGCTATTCAGCCTCTCCCTGCCTCAGTTTCCCCACTGAGATGTTTTGAGGCTTATTGAGAGGACGGAGTACTTCAGTACAGTGCCTGGGTAGGCTAGTGGCATCTTGGTTCTGGTTCTAAGTGGTAGCCACCATTCCAGTCCAACAATAGTCTGCCAGAGTTGGTAACAATGCCAGTCCTGGCTGATGGCATCACAGTGCTTAGCATTGGGGGTTTCTGAGATTCACTCTCACTCCCCAGAGTGTGGGACACAAAGCAGGAAACCAATCTTCAATGGTCCAGACTTCCTGATGCTCACAAGTCCCTAGGCCTTGTGTTCTGTCTCAGCAGCAGAGTTGGGACCCAGGTTTGTTGGAGGTCCTGAAACCCCCTCCCATCGTAAGGAGGCTCACATCTACCCACCCACGAGGGAGCTCACAGCACAGCTGGTTCTGTGGCTTCTACAGTGTGTGGTGGCCTCAAGAGCCCCATAAAGATTTTTGTCTGGGACCCTTGGCTTAAGGTGTACAGGAGCCAGCCAAACAGGCTTCGTGAGGGATTCCTGAATTTTCAGCAATTTTGGGTGTTGGTTGCTAAATAAAGCCACAGAAAGCTTAAACATTATTTTGATTCCCCAAACTCTCTCTTCCTGGTTTTGTGGCCATGTTACTGTCCTCTGTGCTGCTAAGATCATTACTGGACACAACACCTGTGTGGCCGCCAAACTATGTACCAGTGAGTGACTTCGTGGGTGCCACAAGCATCCACGGTGTTCATGAGCATCTGAATTCAGCCAGACTCCAGGTTGTGCTATGCTTGTGTTAGTCTGCCTGTAAGTATCAGCATCTTCTGTCAGATGTAGGCTCCCTGCCCTGTAGGGGCCATTGCTTCCTCTTGTTACCCAAAGGTCAGATGTGCCCACTGTCCTGATCTGGGATGAAATTCAGAGATGGCCATAAATTGATTAAGGCCGCACAGCTGCCAATAGCAGAAGCAGGGCACAAACTCAGGACACTAAACAAGTACAGTGTGGGGATGAGGCCCCATGGCCATCTGGAGCCAGTTTTCCTGGGTCTTAGCTTCCTCATCCTGCCTCAGTGTCTCACCTGCTGGGCCTCCCAGCTCCCTCATATGGCCAGTAGGTGGTGCTGTGGTCACAGACAGGACTGTGGTCAGAGGGCTGCGGTGGGGGAAGTTTGAGGAGGGGATGTGAAGGCTGGGACTCGGCGGAAGTCTCCCTGGAGCCCTGGAGCCTCTGTAGTGAGCTGCTCCCTTATATCACCCTCCTCCAACTGAAAACCAGCAGTGGGGGACTTACCGGCTGGGAGGCCAGTGTCTTACCGCCTTAGGGGGGGACTTGTCTTGGGATGGTTTTGTCTTGGACCCCAGTACCAACCCCTACATACTGGCTCCCCTACCAGTATGATCCTCTGACCCACATAGGGTAGCCCCTGGTTGCTTCCAGGCCACCCTCTACCTTTCCCCAGCCTCAGTGTTCCAGCGGTGCAGGTTTTTATTTTGTTTTCCCTGCAACACGGGGTCCCTGGAATTTGTCCTCTTCCTAAGGAAACACAGTACACCTTCCTATCTCTTCCTGGATGGCCCAGTCCTGGTCTCTGGAAAGCCCAGTCCTGGTTTGTCTGAGTTCTAGGGCTGTAGATCCTTGAAGAGTGTTGGGTATAGTGGGAGAGGGATTGGGGAGCTGTGTTGTTGATGTTGATGGAGGAGCCATGTACGCACCTGCACCCCTCTTTACAGCAATACAGTGTGGTCCTCTGACCAACCCACACCCTCTGGAGACATCGGCTTCAGGCTCGGAAGACTTTTAGAAGAAAACTCAGGGCGGGGGGAGCTGGTGGACATTGGTCTCCCTGATGGAAAGGGTGGAGATGGATGTGGGGGTGACAGTATCTGAGCAAAAAACCTAGCAAAGCACAGGAATCAACAAAATGCAAAGGCAGCTCCCCACAGCCAAGGGAAGGTACTGGCGGCTGTCTCTCTGGTAAGGGATTATAGCCAAACAGTGAAAGAAAACACTCAACTCATCAACAGACAGATAACCCCCAACAAAAGGGCAGGGCGGGACAGGGCGACATCCCCCAGAGTGAACAGACACCTGTCTAGCAGGTACACAAACAGGTGCCTCCATCACCGGAAACCCAGGCAGGGCCATCAGAGCCTCCGTGAGCTGTCAGTTTTCACCTATCAGGACGGACTGTCAGAAAACAAGACTGAGGGTGTGGAGGAGGGGAATGCTCCTGCCCTGTGGGTGAAGTGTGACATGGTGCAGCCAGTCAAGAAAACAGTATGGAGGTTCCTCAGAAAATTAAAAATAGCACTGCCATATGATTTAGTAATCGCCCTTCTGGGCACACATCCAAAAGCATCAAGATTAGGATCTCAGGAGGTGTCAGTCCTTGTTTGCCGAGGCAGCCACAAGGACAGGGCGTGGGAGCGACTTGCGTCCATCTGCGGCTGGGTGGATGGGGGCGCATGACGAGGCACCCAGGGGAATACCATCCTGCTTTTAATGGGGAGGAACGTGGACGCCTCAGGTGTGGGACTGCTCCCGAAGACCCTGTATAAGTGAAAAGAGCTGCTGCAGCGGACAGCATGGCTGCAACATACGAAACTGGTAGACTCCCAGACAACATGGCTACAACATACGAAGCCGGTAGACTCCCAGACAACATGGCTACAACATATGAAACCGGTAGACTCCCAACAGTGGGGAGCAGGTAGGAGATGCTAGGGCTGGGGAAGGATGGGGGCTGCTGGCCCACGGCTCTGGAAGATGAACAAAGGCGCATTGACATATGGAGGGTGTATGCTTATATGTGGAGATCACGGGACATAGACCCCAAGCTCTGCTGAGGTGGAGTGACATGGGGAGCCAGGAAGTCATGGGAGCAAGGTGCATTCCACCCTTTCTCAGAAGTCTGCCTGTCTTCGTGGTTAGCCGTAGATAGACTGTTTCTAGGGACATTTTACAGACAGGAAAACAGAGGCTCTGGAAGAGACTCAATGACCTAGACCACAGTGAGTGCGAGTCTCACTCTGAGCCCAGCCTCTGTGGGGCTCTTTTGTGCCAAATCTGGGTGAAGATGGGGGAAGGAGGGCTGTGGCTGTTTGGGGACCTGAACTTCAGCTCTCCCGCCGTGACAGAGCAGAGAAAAGGGAACGGTCTTGGTATGGGCTGCCTAGGGCAAGACATATTTCTTATGAAGTCACACAAGTCAAGGAGGGACCAGTTCAGATTGGTGACTGCCCATGAAGACTCTGTGGACTTGGAGGTGCAGCGCAGATCAGGAGGGCTTCTTGGAAGGGGACAGAGAGTGGTACTGAAGGGCAAGAGTGTGCTTGCCCTGTGGAGGATGGCAAAGCCCCGCAGGAGGTGTGTGTGTGTGTGTGTGTGTGTGTGTGTGAATGATGGATAGGTGACTCTTCCACGAAGGTGGGACCATTCTCCTTCTGTGGTGCTGCTGTATCAGTCAGTGCGGCTGTGTAACAAACAGCCCCTGTCAGTGAGCTTGCTCATGATTGCTGGAGGTTGGGTCTTCTCTTCCCCAGGACCCAGGCCCAGTTACATGCATGGACATTTATTTCTTTTGAAGTTACCTTAGCTTCTGGGTCTTCTTACAGCCTGCAGGCATGGATGGAGGGGAGCGACACAGCCCAGCCTCGTTCAGGGATTATGACTTTGCTGGACCATGAATATTTCGGGTGGCACCACAGACAGGCTATATATACCACAGTGCTCAGCGTTCCTGACGGCAGGAAGCCCTGCTGCCCACAGTAGTTCCCACTAGAGTTTATTACCTTCACAGCCCCACATCTCTGATCCTTCTACTGGTGCTATGTCGTCTAGGGCAGGGGGTATGGGATGGACACAATCCACAGAGGCTTCCTGAGATAGGAGACCTAGTCTGGTCCAAATCTAGAGTTGGGATGTGAGCTGATGATTGGAATTCTGGGTTCTGGGGACAATCCTGGGGTGCCCATGGCAGGAGAATCTGAGGGGAATCAATTTCTCAGCAGCCCTGTGGGCACAGGCTGGGATGTGAATATCAGATCGAGCTGAGACAAGAAAGGACACACAGTCACCTTTTGACTCCTATGAATCCCACCCTTGGGCCCCAGCCTCCCCTCCCAGATGAGGCCCCTTTAAATGCAAGGTTCTGTCTTCCAAAAGGCTCCTCCCAGTCTCCTGGGCAGCCAGGTAAACAAAGGTGAGACCCTATCTTCTGACATGGCTTCCCCTTGCTCTGGGCACCTTAGCCCCACCGGTCTGCCCCCGCCTGCTGTGGCCACTCCAGGTGAGACACGAGAGGATGAGTGAGGAAGTGGGGTCAAGGATGTGTGAGAACTGGGAGCAGTGGTCCAGAAAGTGGGGGGGGGGGCAGTCAGCTGAGGTCTCTTCCTCCGAGCTCCTTCCTGCTGCTTCTCTCCCTGGCCCTCCTGGGGGTGGGAACAGACACACAGCCTCCTTTGTTCTGGTCACACCTCTAGGACCCCAAGACCTCAGCCCTCCACCCCTATGGTGACACCACCCTCTCTGGTCACCATTTTCCTGTCATCCCACCGAGTGGCCCATGCCTCTGGATTCCTCTGCTCCTAGGAGCCTGTTTCCCCAGCATGGGCAAGACCTGGTCAGCAGGTAGACTATGGTTCCTCTATATCGACCTCAGGATTCGTCTCGGTTCTGCTCTCTTGAGGAAGCTCCTGTCCTACTTGGCGGAACCACACTCTCTGTTTTTAAACCATCTGCCAGCCCTCCCAGCTTTGTCTCACTCACCCCACCCCGGCCTTCTCCTTTTCCTGTCCTTACTTGGGCAAATGCCCCTCCCCAATGCCACCCCACCCTTGCCTGTGTCCACTAAGCTGGCAGGCAGAACCAGGTCTTCACCCTCTTAACAGCTGCCTGCAGGGTGCTCCAGCAGGCCGGGTGGCTACTTTCTTGGTTGCCTGACTTCTGTCCTAAGCAACAGCCAGGGGCCTTCTTGCTCTGTGCCCCTCCTAAGCGCAGCTTCCGGCTGTGAATCCCTTTCTCCATGAATCCGCAGCCATTACAGGAGGACTCTGGTACTGATAGTACTTATTCCAGTTACCTTCTCCACTCCCAGCCAAGGTCAGCTGCCCGCCCTTCTCCCTTAACCCAGCCACACCCCAAGCTGCGCTCCCTCCCCGTCAGTCTTTCCTCAGAGGTAGGTGGCCAAGCCTCCCTCCTACCTCAGGTTTTTCTCAGCCATCACCGCAGAGGTGGGTGGCTCTGTATTTCCGCTCGCAACCTCATGTCCCTGGCAGTGACTGCCCCACTTCTCTGCTCATCATTTATAGCAAAACTCTGCCAGAAGGTCGCTCATCCGCGTTGCCTCCAAATCTCTCTCTCGCATTTGCTCTTGAACCCACTCTAATCAGGCTTAGTTTCTGTACTTCCCTGCAGCAACTCAGGTCAAGGTCACTGATGGCCTCCATGGTGCTAAATCTGAGGCCAGTCTCAGGCCTCATTTGATTGTGACCCACGGACAGCAAGTGGCTCAGCCCCTCTCTGTTCCCACATCACTGTTCCTCCTTGGTCCCCTCCCTAGCTTCTCCTCTCCCTGACCTGTCAAGGACAGATGGCCGGCCTCAGGCTTGGTTCTGGATCTCCTCCCCTCCTCTCCCCTCCCTTCCCCTCCCCTCCCCTCCCCTCACATTTCCTCTCTCCTCTCTTCTCCTCTCTTCTCCCCTCCCCTTTATTCTCCCCTCTCCTCCTCTTTTCTTTTTCCCTCCCTTCCTCCATCCCTCCTCCCCTCCCTCCCTTGGTGATTTCATCTACTCTTTCGGCTCTAACTACTCCATCCCCAGTCTATCTCCAGTCAGAGACACTGCTCCCCGCTGGTCCACCTGAAGGCTTCAACCTGCCCCAAATCAAGCTCTCCATTCCCTGGCCCCAGCAGCTTCTCTTTGGCTGGCCTTGGAGTTCCCCTCGCCCACAATGCTCCCGTTCCACAGGTCCACTCTAACTGCCTTCAAGACATCTTCAGAAGCAGGGCTCTCCTCACTGCTGCCCTGGCTCTGGATGCCTTCACCTGGACCAGAGGCTGCTGCCTTACTGGTCTCCCTGCCACTGCCCTCCTACCCCCACCTCTATAAGCTAGACTTACCCGGAACAAGGCCAGTCGGATAAAACCACCGCATCCATGCCGGGGCTGTGATGGGGTCTCCTCTCCCACCTGCAGTCCCTCTTTTCTGCACCAGCACCTCAGAGAAATTTCTACAGCCCCTCTGTGGCTGCCCCCCACACCCTGGCACTGAGCAGTAAGGCAGGGACCTCAGAAGACAGCCAGGGAGACGGGATCTCATTGGCCCTCTGAGCTGTATACCAAGGGTACAGCCATCTGCAGGCCTGGCCTAGCCCACTGGGCTAGGCAGGTCACACCTGCTTCATCTCTCCCCGCCTGTCACAACACTACTAGTATTGCCCAGGGTTCATACTCAAGAAGGCATTTGCTTATCTGAAGGTGGAAGAACAGGTCTGGCTCTTGGCTGCAGAGAGTGTCTAGTATAGAACCTGACTGTATACAGCAGGTGCTCAGTAAGTGCACTGTGTAAGAATTATAACCAAGAGGCTCCAGGGCATGGGTGTGGCACTAGTAGGTTTACCGCAGCCCTCCTGCATGATTTTCCTGTTCTTAGACCTTCGCCCATAGCCAAGATGCAATGTTGACCCCCATTGCGTTGTGGGAGCCCACATACCTGCAAGCTGGAATCCTCCAACTCCTAGGACTGGTCCCCATCCTGGGGTCCCAGCATCTGCTGTCATGCCAGGCTTCTCTATCCCATCTCTCTGGCTGAGTGCTCCATTATCCTTATTCGTATTTCTTCCTCATGGGAACCAAGTTGAAGACCCCAGGCCAGGCCCATAGTCTGCTGTATCCAGAGCAGCCAGGGTGGTTTCTACTGAGTTACTCAGTCACCTTCTGCCCCTACTACTGCCTGCCCACCACCTGCTGGGTGAATCCTACCATCTTGAGCTTTCTGGCCAAATTAACCCCCTTCCCATCTTGAACTTTCTGCCCAGGAGCCTGATTTTTTTCATACTCTTGGGACCTTGCTGGCCTCCAAAATCTGTTGATGCAGTCCCTCAGCAAAGTGGACAACTTTCCTTTTGGAGGGAGAGGTGACGAAGGAGGCAGGAAAAGGGTCAGGGATAGAGGCAGGCCACCTTGGTCCCATCTAGGGTTGAGAGCCTCTCAACCTCGCAGGCATTGTCCTCGGAGTTGAGGGGGGCCCCCATTTCTCACTCCCGAGTGGCCCTCACCTTGTTCTTCTGTCCTGGTGGCCTTTCCTTCCGTTTCCTGGCCCTTTGCGCCCCTAGCCTCCCCGCGCAGAGACGAGCGCGTGGGGACCCCCGCTGACTGTTGCGCCCGTCGCAGGTCCCGCTGTGCCCCCCGCACCGCGCTTCCCCGACATCTATGGCGGCGACGCGCAGCTCTGGGAGGCGCATTTCCGCGGCATCGGGCGCGCCTACCGCGCGCTGGGCAAGGAGGACGACTTCGCCATCCGCGTGCTCACAGAGGACTTCACGCTGCCCTTTCCGTTCGCCTGGCCACCGGGGCCCGACCCGGCCACCGGGCCGCTCTTCTACGATCCGCGGGACCGCGCGGGCTTCGATTTTCTGCTGCGCGGCCCTGGCGCGCCACCCCCCGCGCTGCTGCAACCCCTGCACGCCACGGCGCAGGCAGCCGAGCGCAAGCGACGCCTGGAGCGCCTGGCGCTGAGCTATGCGGGTGCGGGTCGGCCTCATGGCTTGGTGCTGCTGGCACCTGCGACCGCTGCTTTCCCGCCCGAAGCGGGCCGTCCTGCTTGGCGCACTTTGGGTCGCGACAGCGAATAAAGCCTTTGTCTCTCCTGTCCCCTCGTCCTGCATCGCCCTGCCCCGTGCGCCAGGGAAGCCCTGGAAGGGGCGCGGGACACAATGCCTGCACGAACTCCACCACCTAGCGAGTCTGTGAGCCTGATGGAAAAGGAGATCCAGGCAGGCTGCGAGAAGGAGAAGGGTCGGGGAAGGTGGGAAGTCAGTCCCTCCACCCCAGTGTTGGCTCTCTCACTCAGCACCAGGATGGGAAGTTATGATCTCACCTGACAGAAAGGAAGGTGAGGACAGCCTGGCCTCCAAGAAGTAGCTGGATGTTGACTGCCCTTTACCTCACTCCAAGTGCCACAGCGTTGCTGGTTTCCATGACAGCCGCTAGAGATGCACAGGGATAGAGTGTATGCGTGGAGAGCATGTGAGAGGCAGTGTCAGGAAGGAGTTCTGACAGTCTCCAGCCTGTCTTCTTCTCGGTTCCCTTCCAGAGCGTGCTGTCAATGGCTCCCTTGAAAAATCTGAGAGGCTTTCCTGGAATGTGGCACATGTGACCAGGGCTTCCAACTTGTCCCTTTCTAGGTTGCAAATTCCAGGGAGGAGTCTGTGTCAATAGTTAGTGGGCTGCAGGGAAGGATTGCCTAGCCCCGGAGACTTCTCTAAATCGTGGGACATCGAACAGCAAGGCCGAGTGGCCTTTAGTGAAATGACCAGTCCCTCTCCTGCCTGGAAGACTGTGGGTTTCTGGTGGGCTGCAGGCCCGTTCCCACGCAAGAGCATCTGGACTCAGACTTTGGTTCTGCTTTTGTTTGTTTCTTCTAATCCAGGAGTTATTTATAATTTCCCAGCGCTGAGGAGAAAAAAAAAATTCCCAAGTGCTGGCAGAACAACTTAGACGGAATGTTCACTTTGGGGGAAGAGGAGGAGAAGCAGGGGCAGCAGGAGGAGAAGGGGGAGGAGGAGGCACAGTACCAGAGACAGCTTGGGGCAATGGAGGAGGCAGTCTTTCCCTTCCTCCCCTCCACTGCACTGGCCTCAACTGCAGTCTCTGCTCTAGGCTCCTTCTCCACTTGGGCATCTCTTCAACACTATAGAGACGTCTGATGGCGTCATTGTAACACTACCCAGCATTTGGTTCCTAATCGGGCCCTACCCGTCTTGACTCTGCACTAGTCTCTGTCTGTCCATATGGTATATGAGCTGTTTAGGCTCTTTAAAGACAGCATCTAGATTTGGAGGTCACCCTCCGAGCACAGGCAGGGCTTCTAGGAAGCCAACTGGGTAGGGAAAGGGGGCCAGATATAAAGCAGCTCATACTGTGGGCAACTGGAGGCTAGTGCCCTTTGGCTCCCACACAGAGCCATGCTCCCAGGGACAGGAAGACAAGCACTTAATCACTGCCTCCCTGTCCTAGTGAGGAGTCCTCTAGGCCAGTAAGTCCTGCAGGTCAGCTTGCCCCGTGGGGGATGGAGCACACGCCTCCTCTCTCATAGCATCTGTGAAGTCATTTTATGACTCTACTCTAATAACAAAAATGTGGGGGTTGGGCTTTTTATGTTTTTAACCTCGCTTTTCTGGAAATTGATTTTCAAAATAGTTTTCAAAGGCATGTGGTTGAGAGCTCAGAGACAGAGCCTTGAGCCAATCCGAGAATATAGGGCACCAAGACCCCCCCAGCGAGTTATCAAACAGGAAATTAAACATCACAAGGAGATGCAGGAGTGACGTGAGCAATAATGGTACGAACTATTCCCAGTAGGATGTGAAAGTCACTGGGAGGGGGTGGCGCTTTAGCTAAGAATGACAGGGTGAGGAGGAAGCTGCCCTGTGGGTAGGGAAAGGGTGCCTAAGGCAGAGGGGACAGTGTAGGCAAAGGCCGGACAGTCCCAGGGAGTGGCAGCAAGGATCAAGGCCCCTCCCCCAGGAGTTCTGTCAGGCTAGAGACTGATCTCAGGTGGGCTTCAACCATAGGAGGGATTGGGGTGATCAGGTAACTGAAATGGCCGGTAACATCGGCTTCAGGAAAGGTTTGCTCCCTGAACTCAGAGTTGTCATAGAAGCCCCGTCTTCCAGTTTGCTGGTTGTACCCTCAGATTGCTTCATCGCTGGGCTAGCTAACTGAACACCATCCACCTTCACCGTCACCCTGGCCGCGGGCCACAGGCTTCCACGAGCTGTTACAAAAATAACAGACGTTTAGAAGACCCAGGGGCTCAAATGTGGCCCATGGTGAATGTGGTCCCATGTCCCAGGAAGTGCCACACTTCAGTTGACTCTAGTCTCTGCTACCTGAGTCAGGAAGACAGGGGAATACTGGGTATGCCACAGAGCTATGGTCCCAGGGACAGGAAGTCAAGCACTTAATCCCTGCCTCTCTAGAGGCCTCCACAGTGGGAAAGATTGGAAAGGGTGAAGAGAGCTGAGCCACAGGCAAGAAGTTCAAGGGTGTGACTCTGTGGTCAGCTCCTGCTAGATCTCCCACGTTTCACTGTACCCCCAGGGAGCATGCTGTCTTAAAGAGCTACGGACTGGGGTCTCTGCAGTTTGTGGAAAGCCTGGCCACTCACCTATGTGTGCTAGGTGGTGTTGAGGCTGTGAAAGTAGCTTCAGCCTCGAGGAGCTCTCAGACGGATGTAGGAAATCCTGGGCAGTCCTTCCTGGCCTCTGCTTCCCCTGTGGTCCTCATTACACAGGGAACACTCACAATGCTGTCAGCTGCCAGGCGCAGCACCCACAGTCCTGTTTTTGCTATGGTCACTGGTGTGACTTTCCTTGGGCTTCATCTCCTGGGACTCTTGGCCCCTCCTCTCTAGCACCGATGCTGCCTCCAGCTGTCTGCCTTCCAAGTCTCCTGACGTCTGCATCATAAATATATAAGACATGTCCTAGTTTCATCTCTGCTGCTGTGGTGACATTCTGACAGAAAGCAACTTAGGGGAGAAAGGATTTATTCAATGAACAGTTCTGGGTTGCAGTCCATCATTGTGGGGGAGTCAAGGCGGGAACTTGAAATAACCAGTCACATCTTAGCCACAGCCAAGGGCAGAAAGACTGCTTGCTTGTGCTCAGCTCCGTCCTCCGCTCTTATATAGTCAGGTCCCCTGCCTAGGGAGTGGAGCTGCCTACAGCAGGCTGGATCTTCCCACATCAGTGAATTAAATTCAGGCAACCCTCCCACATAGCAGACAAGCCACAGGGCAATCCAATGTAGGCAATCTGTCTCTTTCAGCCCGAGTGGTTCTAGGCTATGCCAAGTTGGCAAAGCTAACCATTATAAGGCCTCAAACAAGGTCAGGTATAGTGCACATGCCTTAAACTCCAGTGCTTTTTAAGACAGAGGTGGCTGAAATCTGTGAGTACAAGGTTAGCCTGGTTTACATAGTGAGCTCCAGGCCAGGCAGAACTGCATAGTGATACCCTGTCTCCAGCAAGCAAACGAGCAAGCAAGCAAGCAATCAAACACCTCCCCAAATCAAACAAGCCTTAAAATTATCTTCAGAAGTTGGGGAAGTGTCTCTTCTAGGGTCACAGAGCTTGGCCTTAAATGGTGGCATTTCACTTCCCCCTTACAAGGAGCTAGGGTGCTGAGGGAACACCCACACTGGCGTTTCTAAGCTGTTCCTTGTATGTTCTCCTATCTTAAGAGCTAGTCAGTCCTCTGCCCCAAGTGTAGCAGTGTTTCCCAGGGCCCCCCACCCTTGTGGGAATCTTAGTTGCCTACGGTTTATCTGTCTTAACCTCAGGATGCATCCACCTAATGGGGGATCCGACCGCTGCGTGTGGCTGCACACAGCAGGTGCCTTGAGCAGCCCTATGATCTGGGATAATCACCTTTCAGAGCCAAGGCAGGGCATCCTGGGGCCCTTCCCATTCTGGGAATGGCAGAATAGGGAGGGAGGGAGGAGTCCAGAGTACACAAGCAGAATCAAGAAGCCGTCCGGGTCTTGTCCACCTCACAGCGGCTCTAGGTGACTCCATGCCTTGCTATATTAAAAGGAGACTGATTCATGCTTTGATTCCCAGGCTGCTAGGAATAGAAATGGGACCCACCTCCCCAGGTTTCCTCAGGAGCAGATTCTGAGGAGCCGTGAGGATGTTTAATTAATTGCAATTACAATCTTCAAAGGAAGCCCTGGGTTGGAAGTTGTTCCTAATTACTGTGTTATGATGTCGGCCGGCTCCCTGAATTGATTGTGTTAGACTTTCCGATGGAGGCGTAATTGAGTCGCTGTGAGGATCTAGTTTACGTCCCTCCCCTGTAGGTAAAGCCTGTGTTCAGCCAAGGCAGGGGAGGCAGGAGGGCAAGGGGAGCGGGGTAGGGGCAGACACTAATGCCTGGATAAAGACCTCAAGGCCAAGGTTGAGACTGATGGTGGGCAGATCTAGTGTGAACGGTCAGGTGGGCTCCATGTGGTCACCTCAACAGGCTGCTGAGTGGCCTATTTAAGTCTGCTGGCATTTCTGGGTGTGGTTGTTCCCCCTGGGTTATGAGCATGTGGGGTCAGTAGGCGACCCCTGATAGCCACTGAAATGCAGGCACCACGCCCTTGCCACTTGTGAGCCAAAGTGTCATGGTCAGAGTGAGCACATGGAAACCCCTTTCTTGTCTGTCTTGGTGATTGATGGCAACTATGCCTAGGTTTTCCATAGTTCAAGTCCTGGGGCTAACTGGGATTAGGGTCCTGTCGTGAGGATAGGAACTAAACCTCTGAGATGTGAGGCTGTGTCCTGGTAGCATGGCCTATGGAGCGAGGGCACTCTGGCTACAGGACTTATGAAAACGGCTTGGGTCCTTCCGGGTTGTGACTCTGTGTGATAACCCAACTCCTACAAGCAGCGGATTTTGCTCCCACCACACACCTAGGTTTATTTGGGAAGTTTTTTTTTTTATGACTTTCTTTCTCTGTGCCTCAGTTTCCTCACCTGTAAATATGGACATGGGCGTGTGAGCAGGCAGTATGTAACCACTCAGAACAGGACCCCAGGATGTTCCTCCGAAACCAGGTTTGGGGGATAAGTGGGAGATTGAAGGGTATCTGTTGGTAGTGCTAGTGGGCTGGCAAGGCAGGTGGAGGAGGGATCTGGAGCCAGCAGCGGCTACCTGAAGGCAAGGATCCTTGGCTCAGGGGTGGTGTCCGTCCTGATGCCCAAATGACCTGTTGAGGTCATTACCACGATCGGGATGGGGGTGGGGAGGCAAAGGCTGGGGGAGCAGCTGAGGCTTGGCTTTGAAGGCCTTCAAGGATATGCCGAGGAGCTGAGCCCCGTGAGGGAGGGCTGCACAGGTGGCTGAGTACTGAGAGGCCCCAGGATAACTGTCCTCGAATCCTCCTCCCAGCAGGCAGGCCCTGAGCTTCTCATCAGGGAAATGGACTGGCAAACACTAGTCTCTCTCTAGCGGTCTTCTCTTCAGGGCTGTTCCTGGCAGTCTGCTGAGACTAAATTCAAGCCCAAATAGTTGGGCTGTCACTGGGGTGGTGAGTGCTCCCTGGCCCCCTAATTACTGAGCACTAATGAGCCCTAAAATTCAATTAAGAGAAGGAGCTGACAACCCTGTGTCCCTTCTCTCTGTGCTTTGGGTAGAGGAACAAGAAGCTCAGGAGGGTGGGGCAGATGAGGTGCCTCACAGCTGCTAGGAGCGGGGATCTGCGTGGGTTACCAGGCATTTGGAGTTCAGGTGTGTGCAGTTGTGGGCCCCAGGAGACAGGGATGTTACCCAGAGTAACAGTGGAG